GTATCCTGTATCCAGTATCCTGTATCCTGTATCATGTACCCTGTATCATGTATCCAGTATCCAGTATCATGCACCTAGTATCATGTACCCAGTATTTAGTTTGTATATATGTATGAAGCCAATTTTTTACAGATTGATTCTTGCTGAAGAAGTTTAAACCCTCTTACATGAACTGAACACAAAAGACAATGAATGAAAAATTGAATTTTAATGTTTTTTTTTCAAAAATGGGATTTTTTTCGAAAATTGTACTGATTGTACAGATTTTTAAAAAAAAATGTATGGATTTTTTTAAAAATGTACGGATTGGTTTAAAAAAATGTACGGATTGTACGGATTTTTAAAAAAAAAATTGTACGGATTGTACGGATTTTTTTTCGAAAATTGAACGGATTGTACGGATTTCTTCTGAAAATGTACGGATTTTTGTACGGATTTGTTAAAAAATGTTTTGGCCACCCTGTACTCTGTACATGAATATATTAATTGATTATATACATAGTAAATGAGAATATTAATGTTTATGTACACTGTACAGGAATATATTAATTGTTTATGTACATTGCAGATGAGAATATTAATGTTTATGTACACTTTACATGAACAAATTAATTGTTTATGTACACTGTACAGGAATATGTTAACTTTTCGTGTACACTGGACAGGAAAATATTGATTGTTTATGTACACTGTACAAGAGTTTATCAATTTTTATGTCACTGTGCAATGTACATGAATATATTAATTTTTATGTGCAATGTATGCACATGAGTAAATTAATGTGTATGTACACTGTACAGGAATATATTGATTGTTCATGTACACCGTACAGAAATATATTGAATTTTTATGTTCACCGTTTATGAGTAAATTAATTGTTTATGTACATTGCACAGTAATTTATTGATTGTATAAATTTAGTCTGTACAGGAATATATTTATTGTTTATGTACACTGTTAAGGAGTATATCAATTGTTTATGTACACTGTTCCAAAATATAATTATTATTTATATCTAGGCATTGTACAGATGAGAGTAGGTGATGTACAGCCAACTACAGACTGGAATAAATCAATAATAAATCAAGGAAAGAATGAAATTTATCAAGTTTTGTTTTAAAGCTGAGTTTCTTATTTTCATTTTCTTTGATCGCCTTATTTTGATAATATTGACATTAACATTTGATTTTTATATTTTACTTCCGCTTTTACCAATACCATTTTTGTTCAACTGCCGCAGGAATATCCGCCCCTGCTCCAACTCCACGCCTCTGCCGCTCTCAGGATAAACTAATCCTCCGCCTCAATGCCGTTCTGCAAACTCCTGTTGTTGTTTTCCCCAGGAATGAGACAAGTCTTGAGGTTCTTGTTGCTCATCTTGGACAAATATCAGCATCCAACCTTTATCTGACACAGGAGCAGATAAATCAATATCCAGGTATATATATATATAGATATCCAACCTTTATCTGACACAAGAGCAGATATATCAATATCCAGGTATATATATATAGATATCCAACCTTTATCTGACACAGGAGCAGATATATCAATATCCAGGTATTCTCTCAGGAGCAGATACATCTATATCCAGGTATATATATATAGATATCCAATCCTTGTCTGACAGAGGAGCAGATATATCTAGTTATGGATACAACTATCAAACCTTTACTTGACATAATATAAAACATATCCAGGCATGGATAGGGATAGGAATCGGTTTTTGTTTGGTTATAAAACATTCAAGGATTAATTTACGCTGAAGAGGCGACACATCAGTAGCGTTGTTATTAGAGCTAGGTCTATAGACGATGGTCAACCACGTATCTTGACTAGATGATTTACGATTTGTCCATGTCCTACACGGCAGATTTCCAGAACTACAGATACTTATTTGAATCGATATTAAGTAGTTCAGATACCTAGTTCAAATTCATTAATTTTGGTCCCAAACATGCAAATTGTCTTTTAGAAATTTTATTCTCTGCAAGCTCAAATCCTAACGATGATGAAAATAAAGTGAATAATCTCGGCTTTGTTTTCAGATCTTCCCCCTGACTGTCTGGAGGTGGAGAGGGTTAATATCAGTATAAAGAATATAAATCTGAACTCCTTGAATATATTGTCTAAACTTGAACCAAGATCTACCAGAACTCTAGAAGGTAAGATGGGGGGAGGGAGATGGTTAGTATCAGTATAAANAAATATCCTCTAACTGAATGATTCTTATTTAGTGTTCAAAACTGTTAACTAGTTTGCAGTCTAGACATTGGGTTATAGATGAGCCGCAAGTACATAGAAGGTAAGATGGGGGGAGGGGAAGGAAGGGGAGGGGAGTGGATGGGATAAGGGGAGCTTATTATAAAGAATTTAAACCTTTAAATTTTGATCTAACGGTTATAAAACCTTAAAACTTGACGACATTTTAAATTAAAATAAAGAATGAAGACGACAATCACTATTTATAAGTTATTACTTTATTTAGGTCAAATATCCCAGCTGACAGCGCTGCGGCTCTACGAGTGTGGCAAATTTGGAGTTCCTATAATCCATGATACAAGTCTGGATATCACTCTAGACCTTATTACACGATCAGAGCTAGGGTATAATAATAATTAATAACTAGGATTTATGGCGCTTTGCTCCTACCTTTTTGTTATTAGTTTTACCTTTCTTAACTTTACTTCGTACATTATTGGAAAATAACGGCTAGATTTCGTAGATTTTTCTGTTAACATTGGTGGATTTTTAAATACATCTAAAAGCCATTAACCTTATTTTAAAATTCATAACTTCTTATATTTTAATTAGCTTATAAAAAAAAAGAATGTTACCATCATTTAGTATAAAGTATTAAAAGCCATTGAGAAATATAAATTTTTTAATACTCCAATAGGAGTCCTGAGAATCAGCACCACATAAACAAACATAAATAGTTTTTAAGAAAATCAAAAAGAAACACTAATATAATTCAACTTTTTTGGAGTTGATTTGATGTTCACAATGAAATTGAAATCTGTTTTTCTGATTTTTTTTAGAAACTTTTATTCTTATTTATATTTTAGAGGGGTTGAATCCTTCCACTCTGGTTTCTATTTGGACCCTTGTGAAGTAGGTCAGGGTGATGTTGGTGAGTGTGGCGGTGAGATGATCCGGGTGGCGGGCCGGGTGATGAACCCCCTCAAGATCTCGTTATCCAGGAACCAGTACAAACAGCTTTTGGAGACAATGCAGAGCCCTCTGGAGGTTAGAGACCAATTTATTTCTTTATTGCAATTTATCTCCAGGGTTACCCACAAAAAATGAGACTTTAGAGACGACTGTACGGAATTGTTTAGTCTTATTTCTGAGATTCATAGATTCTTGCAGCTTTTTAAAGTCTTACATTTTTTAACATATCAGTCTGAAGACTATTTTTGAAGTTTAAGCCTAAAACATACCTTTTACCTTGTCGTATCTGAAGAGTTTTAAGTCAACTTCTGTATTTGTTATTTCTATTATTGTTAGAGTTGAAAATTAAAAAAAGTATTGATAAAAAGATGACTTAGATGCTAATGATTGCATCAGCTTCTCATGATTATTGTCTCAAGTTATCACAGTTTCTCTTATATTTATTATGGTTGCTTGTTTTATGGACTGTAGTTTGTTTATAAATTTTTAGTGCAGCCTTTTAACTAAGATTACCGACCCATGATTACATGATTACCTTGGGACAGTTAAGGAAAATAACGACCCGGCTCTGCAAAGTTGTTCTTAAAAATTCGCAAATTTTAAAAGACGATAAAATTGTGTACAACTACTTTTTCGTAATGCAGCCTGAAAGTTTTGTTGGCAAAGTTTGTCCCAAAAACGTAGATGTTAATCATTTTTTTTTTACCTAAGGAAAAGGAGAAGATTAAAGCAGAGTCTGGGGTTAGTATGAGCAAAACAGAAGAGAAGAAGGAGGAAGGAAAAACAAGAAGAATCCTTGGAACCTTCCACCTTCCTCTCCTCTCCCTGGAACTCAGAAGGGACGCCCTTAACGCTGATATGGAGCCTGGTATCGTCAGCCTCACCTTCACCGACTTTGGTGTCGAGTTCGAGAAGGTCGAGACCTTCTCCAGCAGGACGGAGATCTCCCTGAAGGGGTTGATCATGGAGGACTTGCTACTAGACGACTTGTCCCCTCACAGGATCCTGATGGTTTCCTCTGGGCTGAAACCAAGTCAGTATTCAGAAAAGAAAACTGGAGTCTCCACTTCCTGTCCTAACCTAGCCCGGAACAGACATGATAAGGATATAAAGTCAAAATCTCTACCCGGCTCTCTTGATCCAAAGTTTATATTTGGGGGTCGTCCAGGGACCCTCCGCCATTCGGATGTGAGGCGAATGACCCGGGCTGCAGCTCCAGATACCCCTCCGCCTTCGGCATGTTCCTCACCCGAAGACTCGTCACAGCGACTTTACAATGAGGTTCGAAGCGGAGAAAATCTTGTAAATGTGAGCATCACTAATATAGATCCTAACCACCCCGAGCTTGAGTCTGGCATGAGGAACATCACCAGGCATGTGATGGTGGATTTCAACTCCCTGGATATAAACTTCAACCTGGAGACCTGGGTTGTAGTCCTCAACTTCTTCGGAATTGGGTCCGGAGGCGACACCTTGGAACCCAGCAGGTATAATAATGAAAATAACCCCCTCTCAATCTCATCTTTAATCTATTTTTAAAGTTTGTTTTTCATTAAGAATATTTTTGCAACTTAGTTCTAAATATCCTCTAACTGAATGATTCTTATTTAGTGTTCAAAACTGTTAACTAGTTTGCAGTCTAGACATTGGGTTATAGATGAGCCGCAAGTACATATTATCATAATCAGTATACTGAACTTATCAAATAAGGGGTTTAAGGGTACCAATGTGATTCGTCATTGATAATTACGAGAACAATGTCTTTAAGGACTAGTAGCGTGGAGGAGGAGGAGATGGGAGGGAAGACGGAGTTAGAGATCCTGGTTAAATCCTTGTCTGTTTGCTTTAATAAACAGCATAAAGATCTTTTCCAGGTAGATCTTTAATCCTTGTCTGTTAGCTTTAATAAACAGCGAAAAGATCTTTTCCAGGTAAACCTTTAATATTTGTCGGTTTGCTTTAATAAACAACATAAAGATCTGTTCCAGGTAGATCTTTAATCCTTGTCAGTTTGCTTTAATAAACACCATAAAGATCTGTTCCAGGTAGATCTTTAATCCTTGTCAGTTTGCTTTAATAAACAGCATAAAGATCTTTTCCAGGTAAACCTTTAATCCTTGTCGGTTTGCTTTAATAAACAGCATAAAGATCCGTTCCAGGTAAAACTTTAATCCTTGTCTGTTAGATTTAATAAACAGCATAAAGATCTGTTCCAGGTAAACCTTTAATCCTTGTCAGTTTGCTTTAATAAACACCATAAAGATCTGTTCCAGGTAGATCTTTCATCCTTGTCAGTTTGCATTAATAAATAGCATAAAGATCTGTTCCAGGTAGATCTTTCATCCTTGTCACTTTGCTTTAATAAACAGTATAAAGATCTTTTCCAGGTAAACCTTTAATCCTTGTCTGTTAGCTTTAATAAACAGCATAAAGATCCTTTCCAGGTAAACCTTTAATCCTTGTCTGTTAGCTTTAATAAATAGCATAAAGATCCTTTCCAGGTAAACCTTTAATCCTTGTCTGTTAGCTTTAATAAATAGCATAAAGATCCTTTCCAGGTAAACCTTTAATCCTTGTCTGTTAGCTTTAATAAACAGCATAAAGATCTGTTCCAGGTAAACCTTTAATTCTTGTCAGTTTTGCTTTAATAAACAGCATAAAGATCTGTTCTAGGTAAATCCTTAATCAGGAGCTTATATTTTGTTGAAGACTTATCCCACGCTCCTCGTAAAAAACAGCTATTTTATCCACTTTGTTAGACATGTTTTACAAAGGCTTGGTCGTTTTTCTGGCGTGCAATTGCGCAACGTTTGCGCTTGTTTGTGTCAAACTTGTTTTGCTCCGCGCAAAATTTTCACAAAAGTTTGCTGATTTCAGGCTACCATGCTGAACTTCTCCAGCAAGTTGTTGCTAGCCCCTGGAAACTTCAGTATGGAAGGAGAACTTGGAAACTTCTGTATTAAGGAAAACAGTTCAACGTCATTAAACGTCGTTTTTATGTAAAAATGGCGACATAAGGAATATTTAAGATTCTCGGTAAGATGAAAGATTTTAAAAAAGTTATGAAATTTGAAATTAGTACGGTGGAACCTATACAACTGTGGAATAGGGAGACGACATTTAGACTCAAGTTGTGATTTTAAATAGTCCATTCTTTTCAAAAAAAAAAAACGATCCAAAACTGATAAGTTTTGGATTGACAACTTCATAAACAGTTAAATCTTTAAAAGTATCAATTTTGTGTGGGACCTGACTTGTCAACATCATTCAGTAGATTTAAGGGGAGTGTTCGCGAAAAATGAAAGGGGGTATAGGCTTAATGCGATAAAAAAGCGCTTTTGATCGCTACTAATCTTACTTCTATCCGTTGCGTCTATAAGGAGAAAATTGTTAAAAACGACTAATATCTAAGAACGTAGTGTCCATACAAATTCAGAAAGATGCAACATACTACTTAGACCGTAAAAAAATCTCTTTTATTTCAAACAAATCATTCTGATATTACAACCTATAGTCATCGATTATCTTTCGCCACATTTGTATATAGTTGATTTTTCATAATAATTTAAAAGAAAGCTCTGGAGAATAAGACGGAATCGCAATTTTAAAAATAAAGATTAATATTTCATTGTAAATAGCTTATAGCAGACTTCACTGAATGATGAATAATTGTTTATCATTATAATTACATCAAAAGAACCGCTAAACATTGTTTATTAAAAGAAGTAAATTAATGTTTTCTGTTTTTAATTTTGTTGAGTGTTGAGTGTTGACACTTGAACTGTTAAAAGGATTTGACGCCATTCGGATTCTTGTATAAAGATAGATTTCTCTGTAGAGGGGAGCAGATACTTAGGTATTCATTCATCATTTGTTCATTCATTCATCTTATTCATCCTTTCATTTATTCATTCATGCATTCACCTATTCATTCATTCATTCATTTATTCATTCATTCATTCATTCATTCATTCATTCATTTATCCATTTATTAATTTATTAATTTATTCATTCATTCATTCATTCATCTATTAATTCATCTATTCATTTATTCATTCATTCACCTATGCACCTATTCATTCATTCATTCATTCATTTATTTGTAGAAATCTTTTTCATTCATTTATTCCTTAGCACTCCATTCCTTCATTTATAACTTTAATTATTTGATTTAAATCCACTTACTAATTTATTTATCTGTTCTCTCATACTTTAATTTGTGTTCTTTCATTCATGTTTTCATTGATTCATTTAAGGTTTAATTTCTACTAATACTCCCATTAAGATTCGAGTTCTACAAGTACTCCATTTTAAGGTTTAAGTTCTACAAGTGTACTCTTATCAAGGTTCAAGTTCTTTAAGTACCCGTATTAAGGTTTAAATTCTACAAGTACTCCCCTCCTGACCCCGAGCTGGTCCGGGAGTACGACTCCTCCCTTGAGCTGGAGATGAAGAGAATCACGTATACCCACACCCAGAGGTTCATCAACACCCTCATAGACTTCTTCACCAGGGACTTTCAACATTATTAACGTTATTATTATTATTTCTATCATTATTACTATCGTAATCATCATAATTTTAATTAATATTCTCATTATTATTATCATTAAAATTATTATTATTATTATAATTATTATTTTCATTATTATCAATATCATTTTTATTTTAATTATCATTATACTATTTCTATTGTTCCAATAATGGATTACCGATCTATCTTTCATGATCTAGAAAACATGTATTTTTTCCACTTGTTTACCAGTCTACAATATGTACACTCTCATCGGAGGTGAACATACTTTATACTAATAAAATCCACATGATTGAGTTATTGCTAAAAGCCCCCCCCCCAAAAAAAAAAAAAAAATATTAGAGAAGATGAGAAGGTAGAAAATTTTTAGTATCCCATTTCTTTGTTTTTCCAAAAAATGTCTCCTTTAAAATTTTTAGATTTTGTAAAAAAATATGCCCTTGGAATCGTATTGCAAATGATTAATTTAAAAAGTTTAATTGTATTTTAGGAAAATAAATTGTGAAGAATTGTGGGGGGGGGGCCGGGGGGGAATCCTCTTTCAATTTTATCCACGTTTCTGCATTATAAAGTTTATATTTTACATATTGTTTTAACTGTTTGTGTTTTCAATAAAGAATAATGTTTTGGTTTTACAGTTTCCAACAACTTCAAGCTACCATAGATACATTTAGACCTCCTCAACCCAACAGGTACTTGTATAGAGGGGTTTGTCCAATTAACAAAGGTACCCTTTTTTCTGTAATCTGATCAGTAATAAGGAAAATAACGCCGTGTTCTAGATTGGAAGGTGTTCAATTCTGATTATTTCTCCATCGTTTCTATAGCAAGAATTGTGCAAGTCTTTGATTTTAATTTTTAATTGTGGCTTTTTTATCGATTTTTCTTCATGTATTTTGACAAATCCATTCTTTTGGTTTGACAATTTCCTGAAGTACGTTGTAGAAAATGAGACCACCTCACCCATTGACAATCATTAAATAAAATGGGTGTTAAAAAATCCACATTTTTTCTCAATTTCGACTAGCAGCCGTTTTGTTGAGCTGCCGCAAAAAATGCCGGTTTAGCTGATTAGACGGATGTTGGAAACAGCCAAGCCAAGCCAAATGAATTTACAGATAAGAATTTTGTTCCAGGAGAGTTGGGTTTAAACCTGCAGAGTTTGGAAAGGAGCGAGGAACAAGACTACTTCTCCAGGTTAGAGATGGCACCATTTTCGGAAATGAATGAAATATTTCAAAACGAACAAATTTATTTTTCTGAACAAACGATATTATCGAACGGTTCAGCTAGAAAATGAACAAAATAGATGGAAAATAAACAATAATCTTGAAAACGAACGAATTCAAATTGTTTACTGTACAACGGAAGAAAAACCGAACGTTGTTAACGAATGATGAATGAATTTGGTAATGAATGAAGAATGAACGTTGTTAACAAATGAGGAATGAACGTTTTTAATGAATGATGAATGAAAATTGTTAACAAATGATGAATGAACGTTGTTAACAAATGATGAATGAACGTTGTTAACCTATGATGAATGAACATTGTTGACGAATGATGAATGAACGAATAAAAAAGCCAAATGCCCCAATCACTTCTCCAGGTTAAGATTAGTTCTCCTCTCCTGGTTCTACCACAGTACTGGAGCTCAACCAAGGTTCTGCTCCTGGATTTACAGTCCCTGGAGATCAAAAATATGTTCAGGTTAAACTTTTTTATCTTCTACTTTAATCCCCCATCCATAATTGATTATAGTTCTGGACCTGGTTAGTGATTAATTATCATTTACTCACTTTTTGTATAGGCACACAATAACATTTTATATCTATATTCACTCTTGGTAAGCTCTGGTAAGGTACACCTCTGGACTTATCCAGTNGGGGGGGGGCTTAAGTGTGCTTTACCCCTTGGGCGGTCTGGGTTTACCAAATTACCATTTTATCTTTATCTTTTTTTTCAACTATTTAGTTTTTTATTCACTTTTGTTTTCATCTAGCATATAATATCCGGTCTGATCATTGGTCACCCATGACATTTTTACTCTGTGATCACAAATCCACTTTTTACCCTCTCACTTGTCACTCTCTGATCGCACAATCCTCTTGTTATCCTCTTCTGGTCACCTTTCCAGGTTTTCCTCTTTTTTATCTCCAAAATCTGTTTCATATATATGTGTATTGTTCAAATACTTTCTTGATTTCTACAGCCTGGAATGATAATACCGATAATGATAATAACCTCCTAACCACTCTCTTTGGGTGGGAAAATCATTTCCAAGTTTTGGTATAGATTTGCTGGCGATGAGGGAACTATAAGTGCTACTAAGCTTAGTACTCTGAGATCTGGAGAGCTTGGAGGTCGAAGGTCACGGGTACACACAGGGTCAGCCTCATCACAGAGGTCAATGTCATCAGCGAGATCAAGGTCAAGAAGAAGCAATAGATCAGCAGGTACACAGTTTTTAGTCACTTTGAATTAAAAGCATGGATGAAATTGACGAAATTGATGATTGTAATGATGTTTATGTTGTTGTTGATGATGGTGATTATGATATTGTTGACATTGATGACACTGATAAAATTAATGACATAGATGATATTGATGACATTGATGACATTGATGACATTGATGACATTGATGACATTGTTGATTGATGATGTTGATGATGTTGTTGATGTTGTTGATGATGTTGATGATGATGTTGATGATGATGTTGATGAGGATGATTATGTTGATAATGTTGATGATTTTGATGATGTTGATGATGTTGATGATGTTGATGATGTTGATGACGTTGATGATGTTGATGATGTTGATGATGATTTTAATGATGATTTTGATGATGATTTTGGTGATCTAGGACGAGGGATGAGTAGTGATGAAGATTTCTCTGCTCCAGCTCCCCTAGCCCCAGCACACCGGTGTCTCCTTGATGTGATGAACATTGAGCTCCGGGGTCTAGATCTTGAAGCAGGAGAGAGGGTTTCTGCATTCATCAGGTAAGAGCAGGAGTAGGTGCAGGGGTAGGAACAGGAGCAGGAGTAGGAACAGGAGCAGGAGTAGGAACAGGAGGAGTATTTGGAACAGGAGCAGGAACTCGGATCAGGATTAAATAACAAGTAAAAATAAAATTTGTTGGCATTTTTTTTGACAACAAGTAATCTGATGGGTTAAAAATCCAATTATTGTATGGAAATATGCAAATTATTTCTAAGAAAATCCACTAAGCATAAACTAAATATGCTCGAAGGAGTTTGAAAACTTTAAATTGAAATTAAGTTTTCTGCAGAACTGATAAAAGTTTCTATTTCACACCGTGCAATTGAAGTTTTCTACGGGTGTAATTCAACAATTTGTCGTAATTATTGACTTCTTGTCTCCAATCGAGACACTTTATGCATCGTTGCAATCTCTAGGGACAAATAAAGACATTTCAAGGTACCCTCTGTTTAAAGAGAGAATATCCGATGAACAACGGTACCCTCCAAACCTTTTCCTGGTTAAAATGTGTAAGACAGAGCTATTTGATTTCTACATTGCTGAGAAACCACATGTAGAAAGAATCAATTTTCAAAGAGAAAAAAATTTTAAAATCTCATGAAATCTTGAACAGAGTAAGCTTTCAACGGTACTATTGTGAATCAGACATGATTATAAATGGAGGATCACTCGAAACAACTTCATGACTGAACTAAGTTTGAACAAAAATCTGAGAATATTTTTTTATTGAACAACTTTAAAGTTTGATTATGCATAAACTAGCAAAACAGCGACAATCAACTATCATGTTTTGTTTTTAATCTTCCTGACAGAAACAATCTCAAGAACTGACGAGGGTCAACCCAGACCGAATTATATTATTAATAAAATGTGGAACTAACATCTACTTTTTTTACTCTACAGAGGTTTGGTCCATCACCATCACCGAATTTTAAAACTGGTAACAGAGTTTTTAGAAAATTTACACTTTTTCAGTCTTAACTTAAAGCAATGTCATTTTGAGATTGAATCATTGATTTGAATTTGATTGAATTATTATTTTGTTTCTGTTTAGGGATGAGGATAAGCTAGCGTCTGATGTAAGTATAGGAAGCTGTATTCTAAGGAGAGATGGGATTCTTCTTCTCAAGGAACCAGCTCAGCTCAAACTACAGTTAGAACGAAACTTAGATAAAGGTAAGAAGTTTGTTCCAGCTGTAACGGAACTTAGATAAAGGGTAGGAACATGTTCCAGGAAAAACGGAACTTAGATAAAGGGTAGGAACATGTTCCAGGTGTAACGGAACTTAGATAAAGGTTAGGAATATGTTCCAGCTGGAACGAAACTTAGGTAACGGTCAGGAATATGTTCCAGTGGGACCAGAACTTGAATAAAGGTCATGAATATGTTTCAGCTGGAACAAAACTTGGATAAAGGTTAGGAATATGTACCATCTGGAACGGAACATAGATAAAGGTCAGAAATATGTTCCAGTTGGAACGGAAACTATATAAAAATCAGAAATGTGTTCCAGCTGGAACAAAACTAAAATAAAGGGTAGGAATATGTTCCAGCTGAAACATAACTGAGTCAAAGAACAGAATTGTGTTCCAGCTGGAGTCAAAGAATAGAATTTTGTTCAAATTTGTGGCCCTAATTTGTTTTCCCTAACTCTTGTTCCTTATTCTTGTTCCTATTTCTTGTTCCTCATAGTTGTTCCAAATTCAATTGTTTCAATTTCTTGTTCCTAATTCTTGCTCCTAATTTATTTTCCAAATGCTAATCCTGATTCCTGTTCCCGTTCCAGGATTTTCTCACAATGTTCCTGATCTGAGTATGAAGGGTTTGCTGTCCAGTGTCCACGCTGTTGTAGATACTAAACAGTTTATTCTTATCAAAGGTAACTTACACCATTGCCCTCCTATTTAAAAGGAGTGTTCACAAATTTAAAAAAAAACAAAGAGGTAAAACATTTTCTCCTTTTCGTGTTGGTGAAAAATATTAGAGGTCACTTAAGCTAGAACTTATGTTTTGTGATTTTCGCGGGATCAAGCATTGATCTCAATCTTCAACAGAGTTGCAGATTTACGGATTGTTGTAATTCTTCTTCGATATCCCGTGATGGTCTAACTTTAATCGAGGGATCAAGCATTGATCTTCAACGTTTAAAATTGCCCACATTGGATATCAAGAACAAGCGTCAAAGATTACCGATACTCCACACGAAAGTTAAGACCTTTGTTCGCATTTCTTTAAAGCAAAATTTAAAGTTGTTAACTAAGATTTAAGAAATATCAGGCGAACTAATATCGGTAATAAAATTTGATATTTCATTTTAAGTCCTAGTAATGTAATCTAAAGAAAACTGTGGAAAGCCATTTGGATAAGAATCGAATTTTAAAGAAATACATGGCTGCAAATGATTGTCTATTTTTAATGTTAAGAGTAAATTTTAACATAGAGTATCCTAGGATTACTCGGATATAATCTGGGAGAGCAGATAGATACTAGCTCTGATACAGAGGATATACTGGGAGCAGTAAGTGAGGACCCAAACCTGCTGTGGACGACCATGTTCATGGATATAGAACTCCAGGTAAGGAGTAATCAGAAATACCTATCTCATGTAAGTTTTTTGGATTTTTCAAATGATTTATCGGTAATTTTCTGAAAAAATCAATTATTCATTTGCTTTATTTTTTTTTCATTAACTCTGTATTTTACTTGATATCCTTTAACTTCAGTTTGTTGTCTCTGTCTAGAATGTGAGTGTGGATCTGGTGAACCAACGAGAAACCTCCAACTACGAAGTCCCGGACTCCAATATCGCCGCGGGATCCGGAGATGCTAAATCCAACCCGTCCCGGAGAGAGTCTAAAGCCGGTCAACCAACCCTGGCTCGGGTCAACTTTATCAAATCCAGACTAGGCGGGCAAACTCATAGATTAGATAGTTATACCTCTTTTCAATTTTATGTTCAGGTGGCGACAAATTAACTGAATCTATTTTTACAATTGGTCAGATAGTCGCATTGGTTTCTTGGTTAATTGTTGGGAAATATATATATGTTGGTTGGTCGGTTTGCGGAAATCCACAAGTCTGTTAGATCAGCTGAACCACAAGTGGAAATCATAAACTTTTAAATAAAACCAGGATTTCCTCATCATGTTTGCTCAGAGGAAGGTTTAAAGGGTACTGCAGTGAATCGGATACACCATTTTCATCTCTTGAACTGGGTATCACTTGAAACTTTGTTTTCAGTGCCTTTAACATTTTATTTACGCAGAACTAGGATCTTTTTAGTGTAGTCTACATCTCATTTGTGTAAACTTAGAATTTGTCTAATAAAAATTTTTTTTATTCTGAGAAATTTTTCAGAAAAGCCAAATTCAAACTCCAGATCATGTAGGATATTTAAACTCCAGATCATGTAGGATATTCAAACTCCAGATCATGTAGGATATTTAAAAAGCATATACAATTTTTTTTTGGTATCAAGTACTAATTTTGTTATCATGAGCTTCATTCTCATGGTTATGGCTATTTTAATTTATTATCAGATCTTTATTGCTTTTGTCATTGACATTGCCAATGTCATTGCCATTGCCATTGTCATTGCCATTGTCATTGCCATTGCTATTGTAATTAATTGTGTTTGGGCTATTTAAATTATTGTTATTGTTTTTGTTCAGGCTGAAGTACATTTCCGCAGTACAGCTGATGTAAACCGGTTTACAATCCTGCTGAACAACATGAGGTTAATGTGTGTACTGGACTGGTGGATGCTTGTACTTAACTTTATATCTAGGTATTCATTCATTCATTCATTCATTCATCCTTTCATTCATTCATCCCAACATAAATTAATTCATTCATCCTTTCATTTATTTATTATACATTCTTTTCTTTAAAAGTTATTTATTCATGGCATCTTTCATTCATTTCTTTTTCATTCTTTCATGTTTACACTTCAAAGTTTAAATAGATATTTAAAAAAAAATATTCTAGAGCTGTTTCTCACGTTTACCCGCATGAATAGTTATTTAAACATTATTTGCATATTTTGTTCCAAAATTGTTTAAAATTGAATATTTTATATTCCAGTATTTTGTGTAAATATTCAATATGTTCAGAGCGCCTGATGCCCCCATATCCTCAACCACCGAGCAACCAACTGATAAAAAACAGGTGAAATCAAATTCTCGAAATAAAGAAAAAAAATATGATATTAAAAATTTAAAAACATGGAATAAAGAAATTTGTATATCGTCAATGTCAAGTGTACCCATAAAGAGTCCGATTCCGGAGATATCGTCAATGTCAAGTGTACCCATAAAGAGTCCGATTCCGGAGATATCGTCAATGTCAAGTGTACCCATGAAGAGTCCGATTCCGGAGATATCGTCAATGTCAAGTGTACCCATAAAGAGTCCGATTCCGGAGATATCGTCAATGTCAAGTGTACCCATAAAGAGTCCGATTCCAAAGATATCGTCGTTTTTCCATCTGCACTGTCCCTGCAACTTACGTCTACGAGAGATTAATCAGAAAATGGGTTAAAATGTACCGTTGTGAACTGTTCATGCCCATTTATCTGGATGGTCAGTTAAATTTAACTTATCAGTCCACTTAATGATGGTTTAAAGGGACTGTAAGCGTAATTTATGATGGTTTAAAGGGACTGTAAGCGTAATTTATGATGGTTTAAAGGGACTGTAAGCGTAATTTCTAGTGACCGTCCTTGCAGAAATTTACAGCGATACCCCTAAAATCTTTGACTGATCAAGTCGTGTTTTCAATTTTGAAAACTGATTATTTATAATTGTGGTTTCTCTACAATAGTGACTTGTACATTTCTACTGCATTAATCATGTTTAAACCTAGACAAATGCATATCTTCCACATTATTAATCAGTTAAAGGATTAAAGGGTAATGTATTTCTATTGAATCGTACATTGTCATCTTTGCATAGGAAGGTCCCTTAAAACTACGCTGAACAGTCCCTTTAACAAATATTTCATGAAAACGGATGTATTGTTAGACGAGGAAGAATGTTGATCTTGCAGCTGAGCCCTTGTATCCTACTGCTGGAGTCATTACTAGGTTGGTAGCAATTTCATGACCTACGTACATCCGCTATACTACGAATACTACACTTTTGAACTACGCAAATCCTGTATGTTACAATTCTGACCTACTCGCAAACTTGGTTTAACAGCTGCTATGTTGGACAAGTGACCGCAAAGCCCGGCCCCTAGCCTGTCATAGCTTCGGCGCTCGGTCCCATAGTATGTTCTAGCCGCAGCGCTCGGACCAGAAATTGTTTAAACCCAATTCCTAACCCTCAAATATTACTAAAAACCAGCTGCCGTAGGTCGGATATTGCAGTAGTTCGGAAAGTTAATTAATGTCAGAAGTTCAGTAGAGAGGATCTCCCGTAAAGCCGATGTAACATTACCCAATATTATTGATCAGAGATAATGTCGTCTTTTATTTTGGGCCAGAAAACATTTAAAACATTTTATAGACTTTGTCGTTTCTTAACTATTTCTCTTATTTAAAGAAAAAAAATATTTTTGTTTGTTCAGAAGATCGGCATCAGAATAGTTCTCAATAAATTTTTGTTTTGTTTATTCATTAAAAGAAAGAGTTATTTGTTTGTTTAGAAGATACCCTGTTATTGAGAGTTCAGGACCCGTTTTTGAGCTCAAGCTGAACATCACAGACTCGGAGGAAACCAATTCTAAATGCATTTATTTCGTTTTTAATATATATTTCTCGGGTTCAATGAGAAATTTAAAATTTAAAAAGTAAATACCTCTTTATACCTTCATTTGTAATTTTTATGTTTACTTNTATTCATTTATTCATTTATTCATTTATTCATTTATTCATTTATTCATTTATTCATTTATTCATTTATTCATTTATTCATTTATTCATTTATTCATTTATTCATTTATTCATTTATTCATTTATTCATTTATTCATTTATTCATTTATTCATTTATTCATTTATTCATTTATTCATTTATTCATTTATTCATTTATTCATTTATTCATTTATTCATTTATTCATTTATTCATTTATTCATTTATTCATTTATTCATTTATTCATTTATTCATTTATTCATTTATTCATTTATTCATTTATTCATTTATTCATTTATTCATTTATTCATTTATTCATTTATTCATTTATTCATTTATTCATTTATTCATTTATTCATTTATTCATTTATTCATTTATTCATTTATTCATTTATTCATTTATTCATTTATTCATTTATTCATTTATTCATTTATTCATTTATTCATTTATTCATTTATTCATTTATTCATTTATTCATTTATTCATTTATTCATTTATTCATTTATTCATTTATTCATTTATTCATTTATTCATTTATTCATTTATTCATTTATTCATTTATTCATTTATTCATTTATTCATTTATTCATTTATTCATTTATTCATTTATTCATTTATTCATTTATTCATTTATTCATTTATTCATTTATTCATTTATTCATTTATTCATTTATTCATTTATTCATTTATTCATTTATTCATTTATTCATTTATTCATTTATTCATTTATTCATTTATTCATTTATTCATTTATTCATTTATTCATTTATTCATTTATTCATTTATTCATTTATTCATTTATTCATTTATTCATTTATTCATTTATTCATTTATTCATTTATTCATTTATTCATTTATTCATTTATTCATTTATTCATTTATTCATTTATTCATTTATTCATTTATTCATTTATTCATTTATTCATTTATTCATTTATTCATTTATTCATTTATTCATTTATTCATTTATTCCTTTATTCCTTACTATTGTTGTATCTAGGAGAAACCCCTGTCGTGTAACCTGAACAATGCTGAGGTGTTCTCCTGTATCCTGGGGAAGGAGGAGGAGACGGCCCTCTCCATCATAGACCCCGTCACTGTCAACCTTGAGATATGGGGGCGGGGGGATCTGTGCCCCACACCTAAAGGAACGCATGCTGATATAATGGATTAGGAAGGGGTGTAAGGGAGTAGGATGATCTAATAAATGTTGGATCAAATGATCTTAAAAGATTTCTGAGTTTAAAGGGAACTGGTGCGGATTTTGGGGATTGGAAGGTCTTTTGAAACTTTCCCTTTACATTAAGATTGTTGTTGCCAAATTTGATAGATTGGACAGATTGTTTGTTAAACTTTAATAGTTTAGTTAAATTAAGTTTAACGGTCCAGGTGGTGTACACTGTACAGTGTGCATTGTACTGCACACCTGCGTACGGTGTACACTACCTTGTACACTACAGTGTACACTGTACTCTATGGTGTCCACACCACGGATGACCAACTTTTGAAAATAGATGCGCGCGGGCTTTCCCCATGCCATTGTGTACCTGAGAACTAAACTCTAGGATATAATCGTTGCTAAAGTTGGAAAAAACCTACACAGCTCCAAAAAAAAAAATTTCGTGAATTTATCATATCACATCATGTCATTTTCTTCGTTATTGTCCAGAAAGATGAAACCCGTTGAAATTAAAAAAAAAATTCAAAATTGACTGAGTAACCGCTGAAAAATGTAACTTTTCTAAAAAAAAAACCCGATCATTTTGGACGGTTTACTTTGACCCAACTCATTTATTTTTAATATTTTTTCAAATATTTCAACGGATCCAAGTTTTCTGAAACGAAGAAATTGATATGTAATATCATAATTTCATGAAATACTTTTTTACTTTCTTTGGCACTTTTAAAAACTTATGTGGCGATTATCTCCGAGAATTTAATGGTAAAAAGTATAGCGCTCATCGCGCGCGCCATTTTTTTAAATTAGTAATCATTTGTGGATACCTTAGTGTACATTGTACATTAAACAATGTACATTAGCCGTAGAATGCAGATATTCAAGGGGTTATGTTTTTTTAAACTTAAATAGAATTGGAGGACTAAGGTGCAACACTTTTACACGGCCAAAGATTTCGTGACCAAAAAAAATTTCTGGAGATGTTTGCGTGGAGCGCTAAGATAGGATTAATGAAACCGGAGGTGGATCCGCATTTGAACTATTGATTTTTTGAACTATTGTGCATTCTAACTACTGATAATGACGTCATTTCCTGTAGTTCAAACAACACATTATTTACTCATTTGAACTATTGCAGTTTAAAATTTTTATATTTCATGAAAAAATAATAGGTCAAACAATCATCACAATATAGTTTAAATGATCACAAAATATTTCAAAATTGACTTATATAGCGCAAATGAGCAAAAAAATAGTTTAAATGAGCAAAAAAAAAAATAGTTCAAATGAGCAAAAAAATAGTTCAAATGAGCAAAAAAATAGTTCAAATGAGCTAATAAATAGTTCAAATGAGCAAAACAAAATAGTTCAAATGAGCAAAAAAATGGTTCAAATGAGCAAAAAAATGTTCAAATGAGCAAAAAAAATAGTTCAAATGAGCTAAAAAATAGTTCAAAGGAGAAAAAAAAAGTTCAAATCAGAAAAAATGTTAAAAATAGTTCAATGAGTCAAAACCAAGAAGTTCATATCCATCGTCCTGCACTGCAGTTCTCCCCCTCCCCTCCTTCCCTTCCCCTCATAATTATCAGTGTGGGTAGAGGGGGGCGGTGGGGATTGGGGTCCAAAAATCGTTTAGTTCAAACGGCAGTAGTAAAAACGCAATAGCACCTAAATCTTGTAACATTGAATCAATTTTAAGTGGAACCAACCATATTTGTGCCGCGGCTCAAATTCTTTAAATTCGGGCTCGGGGAAACTGGGACCGAATGTAGTGAATTTAGAATTTGATTCGGTGATTCAAGATTTGAACAGTCGCTAGGTAGTTAAGCGACCTCTCTCATTAACAAAGTTCGGTTCCTAGGTGGGGGGAGGGGAAGGCATGCCCCAACTAAACCTGACCGGCGTGACCGCTGTTAGGATTGATGGATCTCAAGGAGGAATCTAAGACTGAAAGAGTAGCAGGTAACCATTTGTAATTTTGAAAATATGCAGATCAAAAACCGATATTTGAAAGGGAATATCATCGTAATTTTAGAGGGATAGACCGGCTATGTAAGGTAGTTAAACTAAGTATGCAGTGTTGTGGACAAATTCTTTAGGATTCATTTGAGACATACAAAACTTTTCCACGAATTTTAACAACTAATTAGTTTACTGTAGAATTTTGTTTACATTTTTTGTCGTCGTTATTTAATTATTAAAAAAAAAAGAACAATTCTGAAAACGTATCCACCCAAAAGTACGAGTTTGAACGTCGACTTTGCGTTCAAACTCAGGATTTACAGATCTTTAAAAAGTTTAATATGTCTCAAATGAATCCTAAAGAATGTGTCCACAACACTGCATACTCAGTTCAACTACCTTACAGAGCCGGTCTGTCCCTTTAAGTGTGTCACTTATATATTTAAGGAAGGACATTACCAATCCACAACGGTATTCTTGAAAACTTGATTTGGTCAATACTGAGGAAGATGATGTCAAAGTGTTAAATTCTGATTATTTCTCTAAGGTTTCTAAAGCAGCAAATGTGAATTCACTTATGCTGAGAAAGCACACACAAAAGTAAACAGTTTCAAGAAACAAAATCAGTGATATCTAATTCATACTTGATCATACAAAGCTTTTAAGGATACCGTTGTGAATCGGACATGCCATTCTTATAATAAAGGGTCACTTGAAGTTACGTTTACAGCCTGGAGACGTAATTACAATCGAAAGGTTTTCTTGGCAATAAATTGTTTCAGAAAAAAATTTAAATCAAATATGAAAGATAACCAAAAATTCAATCGTCAAACGCTTTTCACAAGTCAAAATACATTATCTGTTTGTAAAATGTTTTAACTTAGGAACCACGTGACCGATTTGCCTCATATTTTGATTGGGGTACTCGGGAGAACAATGGGAATGTTCTAAACATTGTTTTGAGATTTTAAGTTGAATGGGTCTACTCTACTTTTATGGGGGAAAATAGCTAAAATCGTAATTTTAAGAAACCCCTTTATTTAAAATCAAAATTACGATTGAACATTGGCATTTAATTTTAAATTTTAATATTTGATTATATATTTTTCTTTTAATTGTAAACTTATTGTTTCTAGACATTCAGCTTCAACAACTTAACATTCGACTCTCCTATCACGATGCAAAAATGTTCAAGTAAGTATTTCAATTGAGTGAGTCAGTTAGTCGGTTACTCGATGAGTCAGTGAGTCAGTGAGTCAGTGAGTCAGTCAAGCGATATGGTTGAGTAAGGTGAGAGAGCTGGAAAATTTCCGTGAGAGAGCGGAAGGTTTTGAAAATTCTAAAAACAGTTTAAACCTTTCATTGATCATTGAGGGCAGAGTACTCCGCGTGTTTATCTCTCAATTAGTGTTGGAATTGCCGTAAAACGTGAGTGTACGCTAGTGTACCGTGTAAACTCACAAAAGTCGACTTTACATGTTTACCTCGAAAATACCGAATATTTAATTCCCAAAGCAGTTTCCAAAAAAGTGGAATGCAAATATAAATTTCATTTCAAAAAGTAAATATTGATGTTACAAAACATAACGAAAACAAGCGTTTCTGTAGATAAATAAGGATAAGTCTGACTTCCTTGATCAGAAAAAAAGGTTTAAAGGGTACCGTTGTAAATTGCGCTCACAGTCCCTTTAAAAACTATTATTATTATTATTATTATGATTATTATGATTATTATGATTATTATTTAGGCATATATTGGATTCTGTTCCTCGTCAGGCACAGGATGCGCTGGCAGGGTTGATTATTATGATTATTATTTAGGCATATATTGGATTCTGTTCCTCGTCAGGCACAGGATGCGCTGGCAGGGTCATCTGCAGGGTCAACTTCAAACTCTAATCAGGATTCGGAACCTGCAAATATACGGGTATTATTATTATTCGTGTTATCATTTTTAGATATACCTGTCCCGACCCCATGTTCATATTTTGATTGTTAAAAAAATGAATTTCTGTTAATTGTGATTGTAAAAACTTTTTTTCTACCAAAAAGTTTGATTTTAAAATCTTTGACTTCATTTTTAACCAGATTTTTAGCCTTTATATTTTGTTAATGAAGGCGCAATGTGACCAGCTCGCTGCTATGGGATTCCAGAGATCAGACTGCTTACTTGCTCTTAAGGTTGTTTTTTATGGTTGGTTGGTTGGTTGGTTTGTAGGTTTGTTTGGTTTGGAACTTGTTGGATGGTTGGTTGGTTTGTTGGTCGAATGGTTGTAGTAGGTATCCCTTCTTTAAAGGTATAAAATAAATGTAACAATACGATACCATGGTGTTAATCATATGTTAGTAGGGTGTATGCATGTTTTAAATTTTTTCTTTCATTAATCAATTGATTGATTAATTGAATACTTTTTATTTAATTGATTGATTGATTGATCTATCTTCTAAATAGGAAACCGGAGGCCAGGTAGATGAGGCTGCCATATGGTTAACACAAAACGCTAAGCCTCAAATCTCCCGTTATCACAACAAGTATGTATCATTTCCGCCCC